TGGATTAGTTTAGCAGCTGGCTCTCTGGAGACAAGTGGCTTATATAGTAATTTTTGGAGCTGATGGGCTAAGAGGAGGCTTTATGGGTGACTGTATGTCTTGTTCAGGACATTCTTAAAATTTCTTGCTGCATTAAAGCTGGTTGCAAGGTTTCATCTCTCATCTTTCTGATGAAGCAAGATGAGGAAGGTCGTTTGTGAGAAGACCAGTATGGGCATTACATTGCTCCTGCTCTGGACAGTTGTTGCTGGCTGCCAGTAGCTCATCCAAGCCCGTTGGTGACAAATGCCAAGAAAGGTGCAAATGATTCTAGTACCATGCCAGACTACAGCTATTCTCCTGGATAAAACAGGTCTGGGACATGAACGCATGGATAGGTCCTGCAGATGCTTCTATTGATACATTATTTAACATGATTTTGTCCTGTGTCAAGACACTGGGCACAGATCAAGATAACATGCACTGCTACCACTAAGCAGTGGGCATGGCCATCCTCTTTGGGGAAAGTGATTTAACCTTGTGGGCAGGAGGTGTGCTCTCCTGCTTGTCCTGGGAGCCAGGGAAGAGTCACGGGCCTGATTTATGTAGCCAACAAGCCAAATGACTGAGGACAAACAAGCTCATCATTGTGTCTGAAGGGTCAGGCTAAGGAACAGCTTAATGGGGAGGGAGTTCTTGCATCCGCTCCAAAGATGCTGCTCATCTGCAAATGCTGTTTTGTCTTCTGTCTTTAAAGCACTGGTGCTTAAAATATCTGTTTGGAAGCAAATATTTCTGTGATTTTCTTTGTTGTTTCTGATGGCAGGTTTGTGATTGTGGAAGCTCGGGAGCTCCGCGTAGGCGTGCGGCAGCGGATTGCTGTGCTGCTGGTAGTTTTCATTCAGAATTACAGTAGTGCAGTTGGAGACGGATGATTACACCAAAGAAGGAGGTGCAGAGCAGTTATTGGGTATTTAGGTAGTGCCAGATGGAAGATGAGTCTGATTGCATTTGTCTTAAAAGCCACCTCCTTCGCTGCCTAAAATCTCAAATCCCACCCTAGAAAATATTACAGCATCCATACATGGTAATTTTTTATGATTTTTATTGGATCAAAAATTCTCAGATGCAGGTAGTAGTTTGCCCATTCTGAGAGGGGTGACACTTCATCTTTCACTAAGATACTTCAGGCTCGTTCTCATACCAAATTCATTTTCATTCTTGCTATATGAACCTGTAACATAGGTTATGCAATTAGGAGGAAAGTGTTTGCAGAAGTGATGAGGAAAACCTGATAAATGAAATCCGCAATACACATCAGTCACACCGAGGCTGTTCAAACAAGCACAAACATGTTTTTGTGTACCTTGTTTAAAGAGACAGAATAAAATAATTTATAGGCAAAACAGTCTTTCCTTGCTTGCAGTATTTAAATGTATATAATACTATATATTCCAAAATATGCTAAGGGAGCATTACTGATGTAAAGTGGAGTGCTAAAAAGGCAGTGTTATGCTTAGTGTCGTAGTTATAGCATTACAGTTAACAGGCTCAGACTGCCCGTGAAGTAACTGGGTCTCTCTCTGTGAATGCAATATATAAAATTATGTATTTATAATTAGGAGCATTATGTAATTAGGAGCATTTTTAGGGTGAATGTTTGTGTTTTAGGAAAGGAGTTTTCTTTCAAGTCAAATGCAGTCAGAGTTATATCCTATTTGTTATTATTTAAGTGGAGCTTTGTCTTACAGAGGGTGTTGGTCTTATAGAGGGGCACAGATTGGGCAGCCATCGGTTTAGGAGAGGATTTCAAATACTTTTCCAAGTGTGAGCCTATAATTCCTTTTTTTTTTTTTTCTTCCCCCTGCACTCTGTTAAACCTTGCTTGGAAGACAAAATTGGTCATTTCCTTGTTAGCCTGTTCTTTCACTGTAGTTTCTGAATGCTTCAGAAATGTTAATGTATCATTAGCAATTCTGAGGAAGTGATGTGTTATCTCTGCTTTTTAAATCAGGAGTGAGGGCAGGGGTTTAAAACACAGATCCAAAAGACCATACTAATTTTGGGGGAGCCAATTCAAGGACTGATTTGCCTACACGAGTTCAGTCTGCATGATTAGAGCATGCTTCCTATTTCAGTGGCATCTCTGCCTCTGGGTTTGAAACTGAGGACCAAAGAAATAAGGAATACTCACTTGGTGATGAGCTGAGCCAAGGTTTAGTGGGAAAGGCTTCCCTAGCATCACACAGGAACAGTGGGGCAAAGTTTAGGATGGAGTACTGTCTTCAAGAGTGATGCACATTTACTGTAATCCAGAGCCTCTTTCTTCCAACTCTACCTTTGAGTTACCTCCAGTAAGCGCTGGTCTCCCTTTCTGATGCCCAAAACAGACACCTTCTGATGGATTCGAAAACAGATCATTTATTTACAGAGGATACACAGAGAAAAAGATCTATCTGCCTGCGCTTTAACAGCATGTCCTAAATTTTCCTTATTATCGCTGGAAATAGGATTGTCTATGTATACATGAAAAATGTGCCTGTGTATAAAAATGTGTCTTATGATTGTCACCTGACAAGAATATCTTACTCAAGTTTCCTCTTTCAGTGTAACATTCCATCACATACACTTCTACCTGAGATCAGCTCGTTTTTGCCCAGAGCTGGTCTGGTGTGTCAGCTCAGTTTAATACGCTGGGTGATGTTGCTAACTGTATTAAACGATCCCATTAGCCTGTTTGCAATACAAAAGAGGCTTCTCCATCTTACAGGCCTTATGCACTGTAGCAAAATTCCTGGCAAGCGTCAGGGGAAGAGGTGCTAAGGAGAGCTGGCAGCTCCTTAAAGGAAAGATATTATGCGCTAACTCCTCCAAAAAGAAGGAGAGTTAGGAAGTGCAATGGAAGACCTGTATAGCTCAGTTACGAGCTCTGAATTCCTTGACTCCGAGGAGAAGGTGTTAATACAGAATGGGAAGCAGGTCAGATTTCTAAGGACAAAGATGGCAGAGTCGCACATAAGGACAATAAAATCAGAAGTCTCAAGCCACAAAATCAGGTAAAGGTATCCAGGTGTATAACAGCTGCCAAGGACTCATTCTCTATGTACATTAGTAATTTAAAAAACAAAACAAAAAGAGGCGAGGGAATGTTGCGTGGTGAAAGTGATTAATGGATGACTGGGAAGGCCAGAGTGTCTTCATTGGTTTGTTTGGGCCTTCCTCAGAGAAGTGAGAGGACTCTGCACTGCCACAGTCTGTCCTGGGCTGTAGGGAAGGTAGGCCAGTAGGTCTCCTGCACACAAGTGAATGTTTCTGTACAGCCTGGTATTGGTACAGAGGTGGACTCCCAGCATTAAAAGGTGGCTGGCCTGAAGATGTCCGCACAACACTTGTAATATTGATGGAGAAATGATTTGGAGAGCAGTCAGGGGCAATCCACTGTCCAAGTGAAAGCATAGACCTTGCAGGTTTCTGCAGGTGACTTCTTTTCAAGCATTCAATGGTATTTTTGCTGGTGGTTTAGAGGATAACCTGCAGAGTGCAATAACTGAGTGTGAATAAGGTGCTGAGCTGGGAGTGGTGAGAGATGCTCTTAAAGAAGGAGCTAGAATTCAAAGTAACCTTCATCAATCAGAGAAGTAATCATAAAAAGAATGGTTGCTGTTCAATAAGCATGTGTCCTGTACACCAGTCTTAGGATCTTCACAGGTAAAGGTTGGGAAATAACTTCCTAGGGAGCAGTTATTGAGTCCGAGAGTTGCAGTGAGCCACAAGCAGGATATGAGTCAACATTGTCATGCCGTGGTATGTTGTATTCAGGGACAAATAGAGAGGAACATAGCCTGCAAGATGTGTGGAGAGAAATACTTCCTTGACTGCGGTGCCACATCAAGTTATAGGGACTATGCCTTGGGAAAGATGTCAATCAATAACAGTACCCAGGGGAGAGCAGTGGGGTTGAATAACATGACCTGTGAGCACAGCTTGAACGAATTGGTGTTAATTGGGGTAGATGATAGTAATATGATCAGTGGCTATAATAGTCTGTGATATATGTGGGCTATTGCAGAAAGGAAGTCTACAGTAGTCCAGCCCTGGAATAGTGTGTCTGGAAAGTAGGGAATTTCCATTTTTGGAGGTCTTTAAAAACATTACGGAAAATGTCAGCTGGCAATAACATGGCTATGCTATGGGGCTCAACATCTGAGGCATCCTCCAGATGTAGAGTCTGGTGTTTTCAGACATACTTCTTCTTCCATCTTTCTTTCTCTCTTCACTCTTGGGTGAACATCACTGTTTTCTGTAACAGGATTTCTTAGCTGATTGGGGGGAATTAAAAATTGGCAAATCCCTAGAGAAATTTGGGAACAGAAGTTCATGAGCAGAGTCTGAACTGGCACTTTGGGGCAGTGCTTCAAACCAGCGATACTGAGGTTGTAGGAGTCCCAAGCCAGAACCTCTTACCTGGGCAAAAACGCTGTGAGGGTGCTCATTACACACAGGGTAAGGACTTGGACTTGCTCTCTAATCAACATATTTTCTGAAGACTTTTAAAATGCATGTAACAGTCTGACGTACCAGCTGTCACCAGAAATCGTGTCCCCCACCGACACGCGCATGCAGTACATTGGCACTCATGCCGCACGGGGAGGGAGTGTTGACAGGTCCTATCACTAGTTACCTTAGAAAGGGAGAAAAGAAGCCAGGGTTCAGCAAGGGAGTACCAGCAATCACAGGGCAACGTCAGAAATCACAGAACCAGAACAGACCAAGAAGGGAGTCACTAGACTGACCCGGGTCTTTTAGAAGAACCGGTCAATGGAGAAATGCAGGCAGCAAAAGAGAAATTTTCTCCTGCCTCATCCATGTTGAAGTTGGTGTGCAGGACTGGTTGTAATCGTCCTTGCCATGGGGCAGCAGTGCAACACTGTTCATGGCTGATGTTTTGGAGATGCAGAGTTCAGAGCACTTCTAGTCATGCATGTGTTAACCCTGAATCACGATTTTTTTTTTTGCCTTAGAAGCCGAACCTGATTTCGAAGCCAATGCTCGACAGCATCCTTTGTCTTCGTGATGACAGATGGAAGTACGTCCGGAGCCTGCTGACCCCAGCCTTTGGCGAGAGCAAACTGAGAGAGGTAAGGTGTAGAAAGTGTTGCTGTCCTATTTACCCGAGGTAATTGTTTCCTTTCGTGTAAGCATCTATTTTATATCGCTCCACATTAAGGGTACATAAAAAAACCCCTGTTACTCTGTGCCAATTTATTTAGATCCTAATAGCACATGCAAGAAGTGTGTGCCTGCAGCATGGTCCTGGTTGTGGATTATTGTAACTCAGAATAGCTCATCTGAGGATTTGATCCTCCTGCATCTTTCTCTCTGTAAGTCAGCTTGTCCATAAAGGTATCGCAAACTCAGGGAAGAGCCTCCCCCAGCCCCTCACTTTTAGGAGTAAGCTGAAGTACAGGAAAGGTTATTGCTCCCCATTGGCACATAGCTTTTCATTATTTGCAGAGTCAGCAGCTCTCATGTTAACACAGGAACTGCTGTCAGTCTATTTTCATTTCTCCATCTCCTTCCCCCCCCCCGCCTCCTTTTATTCTTTAATCCTTTCATATAATAAAATAAGTCACTGGAACAGAATGTCATTGCCAGATAAATACCTCGAACTGAAAATAAATGTCTCTGGGCTGACCTGCTGCTAATTTCCTACAGAAGTCTCTGCATTTACTTAGCCACAGGAACCCATCACCCTGTAACAAAAGTTCTCGTCCAGTGACACGGTATCTCTTAATTAAATGCAGAATAATGATTGACTGATTGAACTCCTCTTTCAGGGGAGGAAAAAGAAGAACCAAAAAACCCCTCTATGTATTTTATTCAGAAAAGGCAGCGCTCCTCACTGGAGTGCCCAGTCCTCAGTTGTAAAAATTTTCCACTGGGCAGACGCCCGCGTTGTTTTGACATGCCGCTGTCGAAATCCACAGTAACATCTAAATGTGTCTGGCTCTTTTAGCTCTATAGACAGCAGTTGCTTAGCAACACCAGCTGTCACCTCCTTATTATGGTAAATTCTAATTGGCCATAAGCCTGGCAAAGATCGCTGATTAATCAGAGCTGACAATATCATTGGTTATGCGCCTGGGCATTTACTCTGTCACGGGCTTGATCGCGAAATTTTGGAGACACCAGGACTTTTAAATATGCAAGCGATTGCTTGCTAATAGGGTGGCAGGAGAAGAGACTTTTTTTTTTTTTTTTTTGCATTTCCTTAGCTAAAATTAATCTGTCTTACTGCAGGTCACCGGTGTAGCATGCAGCTCCAGGTTTCGGCATTTTGCTGCTAAACTAACAAAAAATAAAGCCGCTCTCCCCTCAATTTGCACAGAGCAACCTCTGCAGGCACCAGGCAGGCATCCTTTAGCGAGGATAGAGGTCAGAGGGTGTTGGGCTTGATGGCAGGGCAGACCCACATTTGCAGTTTACTTAATTAAGCAAGAATTCACCCTGTTGCATTTTTATGCTGCTCGGTGGCGAAGCAGCAGCACGGGAGGAGATTAGTGGTAGGAGGCAAGAGGGAGCGCTGCCTGGTGCCCGGGAGCCAGCTTACATGTGAAAATTGCAATGCTTATTTTTAGCCTGGTAATCAGCTTTTCCTCTGCTGCCTGTCCAAAACTCAGGGGAAGGGGTGGAATTGTTCATAGGCTCTTAGTTTCCAGGAAATGGTGGCTTTTGCCTCCTTGTCTACCAAAAGAGAGGAAAGGAGGGGGAAGGTCTTGCTGTGAGGCTCAACTTTGTCCCCCTTTCACGTGTCACCAGAAGACAATCCATCCCTGCATTATCTCTTGCTTGCAGGATCCCCACAAGTAACTTTAATCTCTTGCGTCAGCGACCTCGTGCCTATCTGGTGGGTACCTGCTGCGCCTGTGCTTCCCCCTTTCCTGCACACCATGATGTGCCTGTGACCTGTGCTTTTCTGGGAAGCCTCTGCTTAGCTGTCTTCAGTGAGTCCACATGAAATTAAGAACCTTCTCTGAGTGGACATGCTCCTCAGCCTCATGCATCATTTTGACCCAAAGAAATGAGCAATCTTGGGTCTTGAAGTTAATGCAGCTCAGCTTCTCCCTCACATGCAGGTGTTTGGTTTAGAAACTGTATCAACATTTCTCGAAGGAAGTCAATGCTCGTTGATTATAATGCCACCTTCTAATTCTTCCATATTTAGTACTCTGTCAGAAACTCTGCAGTAGTATAGAAATGAAAATACTAGATTTTAGGACTGGTCATACTACAGAGTGCTCAGCTGAGCAAAAGACCCCTTTTCTCCTCCTCAAAGGAAGGGCAAATAAGTTTTTTTTTGATATGGAATATCTTGTATAAAAGCAAAGATAATTTTTGTTTTATATATATATTGTGTGTATATATATATAGTGTATATGTGTATATATATATATAAATACTTGCTAGGCACATTCCTCATTTCCTCTGCTAGCACAGTGGTTCTTTTCCAGGGAGATCTGAGCTTTCAGAAAAGTCTCTCTATCCTTTCTGTTCATCCTGGATGTCCGCTTGCTAGGCACATTCCTCATTTCCTCTCCTAGCACAGTGGTTCTTTTCCAGGGAAATCTGAGCTTAGAGAAAAATCTCTCTATCCTTTCTGTTCATCCACTTCAACTTTAGTTCCCTCTGCAACCTTGTGCACCTTGACTTTAGTTCCCTGTGCAAACTCTCCAGCATCACTGGAGAGGCTGCACAAGTCACTGCACAAGTCGCTTTTCCTCCTGAACGCTGCAGACTCACAGTCCTCTCTGAACAGAGATGGGTTTAGCTGGGTGCTCTGAAAGATTTTGAGAAATACTAGCCTGCAACAGGACAGTAAATGTTAACAACTCCTCGCAGCCAGCACTTCAGATGAGAGATGCCCAGAGGGCCTCCAAAGTGGATCTAGATTCCCGAGGTTTCCATTTCAGGAATACAACAATCCACTACTGAATGAAAAGACAACTTCAGAATTAGCAATAACAAGAAACTTGTCATCCACTTTTTGGGCTTGTTGATGGAGGACAAAATGCAAAGCAGAGCTTAAGTATTAGAATAGGGCTTTACCTGCAGTGCCCCACTGCAGCACCTAGCCCCTGTGGCTCCAAGCAGAGGTGTCCTTCACCCTTGGCTCTCCATAGTAGCTGTGTAGTGCCACAAAGTTCAGTAGGCTTGAGGAATTTCAGCTTGGTTTGGCAAAAATCTCCAACAGGTGGTCACCAAAAGAAGAAAAGTTAACTTACAAATTAATTGCAACTAAATGCAATTGTTGCATTTAGTTGCAATTGTTGCAATTTAGTTGCAATTAATTGCAACTAAATGTTGGGGACCATCATAGGGACTGCTGCCTGTACTCAGCAAATTGATTTCCTAATATTTTTCAAGATTTTTTTCTGGTGTCTTCTGCATCTTTTGCTATCTCCTCAATTTCTTACAATGGGTTTAGCTGGGTGCTCTGAAAGATGCCTGCAACAGGGCAGTAAATGTTACAGTTACAGTTGTGCAGTTTCACTGTTGTTTTTGTAGAGTTTTGTATGCTGTGTTCCCCTTTCTCAATTTCCTTTTAATAATGAGTGTGAAAAGGCCAGTAAAGCAGTTCAACTGAAGGAGAGTTTGACTCTGGATAACATTAAACTCAGTTACTGCAATGGTGAGCCCAATATAAAACAAAGGGGTTTTTTTAGGCTTAGTGCTGCAGAGAGATATGTTAGCGTCCCACATGAGATCTGACTGAGGTCGGTAGCAGATCTGATAATACGCTCTCAAGCTGTGTCTTACTTTTTCTGGAAAACACTTTTTCCAGTGAGAGCTCGAAACAGTCTCCCAGCACCATTGCCATAGGATGCTAATAATGAGAAACAGGAAGCAGGAGAACCGTATTTTACCTCCAGCTCTGCCACTGACTTGCTTGTGTATGATTTGGTAGAAGATACTGAAATTCATTGCCTCAACTTTTATTTGTCACATAGGAATATTACCAAATGCATAGTCCAAGGTGTGATTTATGAGGAATTAATGAAATCAAATGCTTAGGGATTCTTAAGTAAAAGATGCAGTACCCAGTGTTCCTGTCATGCCCTTCACAGCTATCGTGTAAAAAGGCAAGCAAATATATTAGTGATCTTGCTGTACTGTTCTTGATTCCCTATTTAGTATTTCTTATTTAGCTTTTCTTCTCTTTCATGTGGTACCTGTGATGATCCTGCAGTTCTGGACCCCTTGTCAGGTTTGATAAATAGCTTTGCTCTCTTTTACAGCCAACACCAGCAGAAAACCTATTGATTTTTATTTATTCTGATGGTGCTGCAATACTCTTGTCATCTCCTATCAGCATGCCCAGGATCCCCACCTCCATTATCAACCATTAAAACAAAGCAGAACACAAAAATTAGAGAAGAGAGTGCAGCATAATGCAGTCACAAGTCTTAAAAAACTTGTGAAATGGAATTTATGTTGAGGCATTCGCTTTTGTGACAAGAGAGGCACAAAGCAGAACTTGTGATAACGTCACAGAAAACTGCAAGAAACTCCTCTAGTGTTGTCTTGGACACAGATATTCCAGATTCCACCAGGATGCGGGAGCTGATGGTGCAACTGTTGAGGTTTCCTTGACTTGCTCGGTCTTCTCTCGGACATACGTCAAAGGCATTTTGGAAGGTGCTCTAGAAATTGCTGCTGTTATTTAGCAAAGTGAACACACTGACCTGAGACAAGGCAAATCTCTAACGTAAAAGCAGATGTCTGAAACGTGCATGTCCTTGAGCCACAGGCCTGTGTCTGGCTGAGTTGCTCACTCTGATAAGCTATGAGTAGCGAGAGGAGGGAGACGGGTCCTCCCACGATCAACCTTTTGCTCTCTTGCTCTCTGCTTCTTTCCTGCTTTCAATCAAGGACTTGAAATTTGGTAGAAAAGTGGTTCTCGTGCTGGGGACATATCTTTTTTTTTTCCCCCCTTCTTCCTCTGTGTTTTGGAGAATATACTGTGACAAACATGCAGGTAGCAACAGGAATTGGCAGTAACTGGGAGAGTTGGCTTGGACTTGGAAGGCTGTGGGGCAGAGGGACCAGAGATGTGCAAGGTGTGAGAGGTGTTGCCGGATACCTTCCCCTTGTCTAACCTTTCTAAAGAAGGGGAATATTTCCGTATGCAGCAAGACAGGAGTTGGCAACAGATCAATCCATTTTAACCTGTGTTCACCTATCCTTGTCCCAGAAAGGGAGGGGTCATCTCTTCCACTCTCATAAGTCTCCATGGGTGGGGGAGAGTATGAACAGCGGGATGTGTCTGTGGAATAAGAGAGAGGTTACACCAGCACTCAGGCCAGCCTGCAGAGGACCTCTCCTTGTTCCTTTGACATGGGCATCATTTAGCTAAGATCCTTCCTGTTTCTGATCACAGGTCTCTGGAGTAGTCAGGTTACAGGAAAGAAGGAGGAGGAAGAAGCTGAAAAACTTCGGTTAGCAAAGTGGATAGGGAGAGATTATTTGTCAAGGGAAGTTTAGGGAAAGTGACAATTCATTTTTTTTCATTTTTTTTCTTTTTTACTTTTTTATTAGTGCTAGGGCACAGAGCTACATCTCCATAAATACCTTGGCTGTATGTTGAGAACTGCTTTTAATGTGACCTTTTGTGTGAGGGATTGTGAATTTCTGCTTCATCGTTGGGGCATTAATTATAAAGGAAATAATAGTAAATAGTGAGGACTGCTGCTAACTACAGCAATGTGACTCTGGATGCCTGTGAACAGTGCAAACATCCCCATGCACTGTGCATACACAGAATCAGAAACTAATTGTTGTCATGTGCCAAATAGCATATTGGCAGGATTTATGCAGCAAAGCCCCTGGCATCAAGAAAACCCTAACCCCAAATGCTCCTCTTTGGCAGAAAGAATGAAACTTGGACTCTAGGCTACTCTTGCTATTAGATAACTGGCAGATCAAATATTTACGAGAACCATATTGTTTAGATTTTTCTTCATTCTGTTACTCTCAGCCAATGTGAACACAGAGCAGCTGGGATGTGTTTACCCACCAAGAACTGCATCTCAGGCAGGTTATGCAGCCTGTATGTTCTGCCTGGCAAATGGTAAACGTATAGGAAGTTGGTGACAGCCAAGGCAATGCAGATCAGTGTGTCTATTGCTGTGCTGGTTTTCAAAGTTTCAAAGTGTAGTTCTCTTCTCCCAATGCTACTTTATTTTTTTCAACAAATGAGCAAAGATTTTAAAGCATTGAGGGAGTCAAGAATGTTTCAGCCTGTGGTCTTTGTAGTTAACAATCTTGGAGTAATTTATGTTACCCAGGGGAAAAAAAAATAAAACCCCAACTCAAGCCAGGATTCCTAAGCAGATATTCCCTGTAGTTTTCATATGCAAATAATTGTCTCATTGATATGACTCTGTCCTGTAATGCTAGCAATAAATCAAATCCATGTGCCCCCCTCCCTATTTTCCTGGTTAGGTTTGCTAATAAAAATACCTTATTGCTAGGAATGAACTGCAACAGTGTTTTGAAAGGCTGGAATGTGGAAAGTTCAGAGGTGCTGTGAGATGCTCTGGCCAGCATGCATGCCCCTGCATCCCTGCCAGCTGTTGGGAAGCAGTAACGACCAGCTGGGGTGGCTTCAGGTCTGGTGATGTGGTGAAGAATAAAAGAGAAAGTGAGGCAATAAAGGGAAAATCTAAAATGATTGCCATCTGTTTAGATAACATCATACCTGTTAAAATATGGATTTTCATTTTGTTCTTCTTGACTGGTTCAGTTCATTGGAAGAGCTGGACCCAGAGATTACAAAGCATTTCACCCTGGGTCAGTCTGTAGAGCAGAGACGTGTTAATTTTGTTGAACTATTTGAGAAGAAGCTCTCTGCAGGGGCTCTCCTTTAGAAAGCCAAAAAGGGAAGAAAACCACCGCATGCCATGACGTGCACCTCCCATACACACACCAGCTACTTTTACAGAATACTAATCTGGCCTCAAAACTGTCTTGTGAAAATCCTAGAGCGAAGCTCAAATCAGTGTGGCTTTGAATTGAAGTGGGTGCCCCCTGCTCTGTCCCGCATAGGAATGGCTCCTCGCGGGACACGTCCTTGACTCCGGCTCCCGCCTTTGGGCAGCATGTTGGCTGCTCCTCCGGTGCCCCTTTGACTGTGCATCGCCTTGCCCATGTGTTGGGATGGCAGCGTGCCTGCGCACAAAGTGTTATGCCAGCTTCGCAGGGGTAGGAGTGCCAAGCAAAATGGACTTGGCTGGGCAGCCCCCGTAGCTCTCCTGGTGTGCTGAGAGGACGCGGCGAGTGTTTTTGGTTAACAAGACTGTCGGAGCAGTAGCACGAGTCTGTTGGCCCCTCTCGTGTTTGTGGATGTCCATTTGCCGAAGGAGATTGCTCAGGAAGGAAAGGCAGGTTTCTGCACGTCCCTGTGATGGTTGGCATAGCCGTTGAGGAACTACTGTGGTATCAAACTGTAGGTTATGTGGATCGCTCAGCAGTTTGCAGGAAAAGAGCCATAGGGAACACCGTAGCTCAAAGCAACAGCCAGCCCATCCTCTGCCCTGCACCAGAAGGTGCAGTCAAGGCAAGTGGTCTGATGCCCTGTCATATGGAAAGAGCTATGGAGAGAGACTTTAAGGAGGTCTCCATTGTCAGCTAGGCCTTGGTTTGAGGGAAGTGCAGAAGAGGAGATGATGTCGCTGTTAGCTGCAGCCTGGCTGTGGCTTGAGCTGCCTGACCATCATGTGTCAGTGACTGGGAAGAACCATCAGCTGAATAAATTAGTGTGAATGTCCACATAAGGGCAGCTATCACTCCAGGCAGCCTTTCCTCAGGCACAAATAGCGCTGTTCCCTGGCATGCTGTAGTGATATTCCTAGTGCTTTTCCTAATGTACATCTCAAATCCCTCCAAATGAGGTGCAGCAGGATGGCAAAAATGGGTCTCTGGTGCTGGTAACTTTACAGTATTTTGAGACTATTTTACCCCTACCCTGGATGGCATATCGCCTAAATGTAAGGTACAGTAAATGTGGATCCTGATAAATCATCTCCTGGAGTAGGGAATAATTAAAAAGAGAGGGAAAGGTCTTCTCTTGACATCTTGCCACAAGCAGGCAAGAACCAAAGTTTAGCTAAGCAACTAGGTGCAGTAGCCTGCTGGAGAACTGGCATCCCTATAATGAGACATGAGAGCTAAGCCTCTTGGGCTTGCTTGCTTATAGCAGACAGGTCCAACCTTTCATCATAACCTGCACAAAAGGGCCTGACTGCACCTACGGAGGATCCTGAAAGCTGGGACTCATCTACTATATAGAACTAATCTAGAAGAATTTATTTTAAATATTTTAACAATTCAATGTGTGTTCCTTTCTAGATGATGCCACTAATAAACCAGGCCTGTGATGTTCTGCTGAATAACTTGAAAGTCTATGCAGATTCTGGCAAAGCTTTTGATATCCAGAGGTATGTTTCACATACGAGAAGTCAGTAGCAACTTAAAAAAAATGTAAATGGCAGCAGTTATTCTAAATATACAATTACTTCATAAAATGACTTCTTTTTTTTGTAAGTGGAGATTATAGTCTAATAGAGGATATGTCTGATAGATGCCTTTTCTTCCTGGGGGTAGCCATTGCATACTTGAAAAGTAATTTTGGGAAAGCATCTAATGTATTTTGGGCTGTTGTTTAATGAAGTATTAGCAGCTGGAAGCAGAAAGGAAAATGGCATCAGTCCATGTCCAGGCTGCTCTCTACATTCTGCCAATAGTGTACAAATATAGGAATTGATCTAGTATCAAATCACCCTTTTGTTTTTTATGTGAGGCTTTTTGAGAACTTAATCATTCTTACCACATTCCTCATAACCTCTAATGGCACTTTTGCCTTTTGTGAAACAATGAGATTGATGCTCCAGATGAGGAGGCACTATTGATTTATAAAATGACACTTTAATATTTTCCATACTATCCTTACTCTCATTTGTTATGCATTTAATATCCTGTTATCATATTTGTTGCCCTTACAGCAGAGGTCTTCACTGAGCTCAACTCTGTACTGTCTAATGCCTTCTCTAAGCAGATGCACTTTTAGGATCTTGTTAGATGCATGAATAGTTCAGGTGTATTCTTTTGTAATACATGTTAACTTAAATACTCAGATTGCTATGTTGCTTAGGGCCCTTTGAAGTTCCTCATTTTTTTTCCTAAACTGGAATGACCCAGGTAATTTTGTTTCATCTAAAGAAACAGATATTTATCCACAATTAAATCACCTCTTTTCCAATATGTGCATGTACATGCGTGCAAGTTTGTGCACAAAGACCTCTCTATATTAAACACGTGAAGAGATGAAAATTGGCCTTTTATATCCTTCTGAGTTTTCCCTTTTTCCCTTTGTCCTTTTTCTCTGGAAAAAAGACTTTCTCTCTGGAGAAGACTTTTTGAAAGTCTAGATAAATGACTTTGATCATCTCATACTATGATCTTCCAGTTATTTTATTGTGCTGCCATTTCAACAAGCTTAACATATGTAAATTTTATGCTTACTGTAGTTTCCCAGAATTACCCTGAGAGTTATTTTTTGGACATAGATACTCTGACTGCAATGTCTAGTCTTCTTTGTCTGGTTGTCTTTAACTGTTACTTATTTTTGCCAACAACTCCACAGCTTATTTTTTTATTTATTTTTTTCCCCAAAACTCTTGGAGGTTAAAGATTCAGGGCTTATAAAATTACCATTTTATTGTGGTGTTTGCTCTTTTAGCATGTAAGTCTCCAATAATACTTTTTTATTTCGTGCAAGAGCTGAAAACCCAAAGAAGATTTTACTCTTTCAGTGTTGTCCGTATCTTACAGGTCTGCTTTGGTAGTCTTCAGAATGACTGTGGATCAAAGAATGATGGAAAAATGTTGATTCTTGATGAACCCAGACAATATATGAGTCTGAGGCCTGTCATTCTGTCATACTTAGGTTAAAATACTAGAGAATTTGGTATTATCCTTTCATAAAGAAGCATGGAAAAACAGTCATTGAAGCCTTGATCACAGATCAGAACCACCAAATTTCAAAGACATTTCAAATTCTCAATCCATTCTTACAAAACTAAATATAGTTGCTAATGTGTAGTAGAAAGGAAGAGCATGAGGTGACTGGATAGATGCTCATCTTCATGAGGAGTGATTCAGTCACTTTGGAATTTTCTAAGTCGTGATCCACAGAACATTTGTAGTTACCAAAGTATTTGCTGCTGATTTGCAAGATAGGGATTTCAAGTGGTGTCAGTTCCTCTTGCTTCTGACCAGGATTTTAAATTACAAAGAAGACAAGCACACTAAGCCTGTCTGTAATAGGCAATTTTATGTAAAGAAGTCCTGTCAATGAGAATTTAGTCTGGAGATGTGGAGATGTGGTTTCTGCGCTTTGAAATGAAAGGGGAATGATCTGTTTATTAAGATGCATGCTAAGAAAATGCTTATGGATTTCTGACCTAGTGCATTTAATTTCTAAATGATAATCTTCTTTATATATTTTTTTATATTTTTCAGTTAGAATTCTAAAACTAGAGGAAAAAGAGGTTTTTATTATTAAGCACCATCATTTTTCAGAATGGCAGAAACAGCTCTTGTTGGCAAAGCTCAAATCTAAAAGAAAAAAAAAATTAGAAGCAAAGATTAGCACTGTTATATGGTGGCCATAAAGCAAGGTATTCCTGGCTATGCAAGTTGATGAGTTATCATTCTTCACTCAATGCAGGTGTTACAAGTGCTTTACCTTGGATGTTGTCGGTAGCGTGGCTTTTGGTGCTCAAGTGGACTCTCAGAAGAATCCTGATGATCCCTTTGTTAAGAACTGCAGAACGTTCTTTGAAATGTCTTTGTTTAAGCCTCTCCTAATTCTAATCCGTAAGTACAGCCTGCCTTTGCTACTTATTTATAGTAGCTTTCTAAAAGCCGTTCTCAAGTTGCAAATCATCCTCAAGCAGGAGCAGGAAGGTGCATTGCAGACTTTATTTCGGAGGTTCCTAGAATGTAACCAACAGGCCAAATATACCCTCTGGATTTCCACGATAAACTCTGCAGCTCCTGACACCTTTAACACAATTTCCTGTGGAAACGATGATGAGTCCCAGGAGGCAATGCTTCAACTTGAGCTGGGTGCAAGGTTTTGGGGACCTGTAATCTCTGTGGACTCTAGATTTATGTATTAAAACTGAGTAAATGCAATCTTATTCATGTTTTGTACATTAGGCACAACCCTTGGGAGCCTGAGTGCAAGGTTTTTGTGCCCTTGGCTAACTTGGTAGAGATAGAAATCCCACCCAAAAACAAGAGAGGGCTAATAACTCAAAGAGAAGTAGAGGAGCATAAGCACATAGCATAAGCCCTCCAAATTCTTATTTAAATAGCAGCAGCAGTTGCCTGGCTGATGCCTTAAAGGATGAAGATGGTAAGTGCCAGCACAGGCTGTCAGTAAGAGAATGCATTTATTTTCAGGTGGAGAGACAGGGGGTGCAAGAGTGGGATACACAGACATGTAGTTACAGGTTGCAGATCCCACTCCAGTCACTCCCAAGGCTCTGTGCTGGTGAGGGCAATTAGGAAGCATGGCTGGGGAAACTGCAGCATAAGCAGAGTTCAGGCGCTTTTAACATGTTGTTATCTAGACCGGCTCACAGGTGGTGAAGTGGCAAAGTTCCTGTGCCCATCTGATCCTGCTGGTGCTGCAGATTGCACCTGTGCTAGCAGCACACAGACTGCGTCCTTCTGGAGCCGTGTATCCAAAATGTCCTGGGGTTAATGTCTAACCTGATTGCAAAGTGAGATTTGTCACTAGCTTCTGAAATTTCCTTTTCATATGAGTAGATAAGTCCTTTCCTAAAGAGAAATTCTGAAGAGTTCAGAGTTGGGTTGTCTGAAGGTTGTTGATCCAATTCTGCTGGTACATTACATAGCCTGATTTTCAATACTGGGTTGCCCTGTTGGCAGTACAGGGGTCTTCTGGTGGCAGAATTGTTGAGTAACCAATGGGTTATTTAGATGCAAGATTTCAATCAGGTTTTTAGCTCCCAACTTTAAATGCAATGAATTGGTAACCAACCCTTACGTAATATCCCACCTCAAGAGTCTTTTCTTTGGCCTGACTAGAGAAGAAAAATAAATTAGTAAATCAATATCCTGATATTGAAATGCTGTAAACAGGAATCAGATGACCATTACCAGTGTCATGAACCAATGCCATAACCTGCTGGGCTGGGTCAGGATTTTTTCTCCCCTTTATATGTAATTATTTGAGTAGGCAGGGAAAAAATCTTCCACTTTTTGTAGTAGCTCGTTTGTTGTGGCATCAAATAGTAAACTGAAATTCTGTACCATTTTGGAACGGTTGCATGTCAGTGCAATGCTTGCAAGGCATGTGTCCTACAGGGAAATCCCAGCCAAAAGGATTTTCTTAAAGTCCTTTACCAGCTTATATGGGAGGGAGAAAAAGGGAGAGAATGAGGAAAAATAGGTTTAATAACAATAATGCATCCCTCTTGATAAATCTTATGTTATTAATGAAAGGGGGGGGATATTATATACTTTTACACCCTGCTTCAATGTTTTCTACTTTAAAATCTCTTATAGTTTCTTTCCCATTTATAATGATCCCATTGCTCCGCATTCTGCCAAACAAGAAACAAAAGGAACTGAATGGATTTTTTATACAAATCATAAAGGATGCAATTGTCTTCAGAGACCAGCAAGATGCAGCTGAGGTAAGGACATTTCTGTGATAAATATAAGGATATGCAACAGTTTTGAGGAAAGACTGGAAGTGGCATGAGCTTCAGTTGAAAAAGCAAAATCAGTCTGTCTAAACATCCAAAGCAATTTATATTTTATTCATTTTTACCTCTATCAACCATGTTTGGCATTGATGCGGAACTGTTAACATATTACAAGAAAGACTGCTTCTCTTTGTACTTCTGTTCAAATAAAGATACATAAATGTCACATTTCATAACTTTCCAACCTGGTTTCTAGACCCAGAAGGAAAAATTCATCTTGCAGAATTTTTTTCTCATCTTAAAGTGTATTTTCTACATAAGTTTTCTTTAATGGCAAGAGAGAGGGAAGCCCCCATAGAATGATTTGTCCCAGTCATTAATTAGGAGCTCGTAGGTTTCATGTTGTCCTATGACAGTTAGGACTTCTTTTGGAAATGAAAAGAGAGAACCTGAATCTCTGGTTAAAAACAGCTGCATAGTATTGAGATGGCTAAAGATAAAAGAAGTGAATTCCACCCAAAGCGCGCAATACATCATGTGCGTGTTAGTAGCAAATCAAGAAATGTTACCCATTTGCTTTTCCTTCTCTTGGATATAAGACTGTCCTAATATGAGTCCTAATCTGTTACTTAATTTTAGTTGTTGCTGTTCTATGAAATACCTGAGGATATTGGCATTTTTTATGAAGTTGTCTCTATTTTTGGCATATGGAGCATTTGGAACATAGGTGTGCACGTCAGTCCTGTGATATAAAAAGCTCCTTAGGCCTACTTGTGCTTTTGGACTTATTTTTTTTTTTTCTGCAGACTGTACATTAGTCCTAAAAATAAGTTTGCCACTTAATTAAGGATGTGTAGCCAGAAACAAAGCATATCAACTCAAATTCAATTTTAAAGGTAGCTAGCACCTGCTTTGCAGACAATTTGACATGAAATATGCCATAACATGCAAAATAAGCAGCTATCAATATTGAAATACAGGAGCTGTTCCTTACCACTGTGAAATGAACAGCCATTCCAACGGTGTAACTGCAGAGGTGAGAATGGATCCTCCCAACACAGCTTTTTCTCACAGCTTAGCCCCACAGCTCCCACCTTTTAGCAAGAAAACCGATTTTAGTTTACCCTATGTTATATCTACAGCACATTTAGAAACCAAATCGATTTTTTTAAAAGATACTGTTCCTCTTTTTTTTTGCATGTTTTACCCTTTTTTCTTTGACACTCTCTCTGTAGTTCAATCTCACTTCTGTATTTGTTGTGCTTTATCTCTCCGTGCTTTCTGTCTTTCTTCCAACCCATCTTTATGCGTCTTTACTGCAAGCTTTTAGCTCTTTTTCTGCCTTCTTTACATCCAGGCATTTATAAGCACTCCTGATTGGCCATGTGAAATTCCTAAATCAGAAACAGGGTTCCTGGCCCAGGTCAAATACTGAAAAAGTATTTGCCAATAGATGCAGTGTATCTAAGTCGCTTGCAGACACCTCATTTCTAGCGTACAGATTCAGTGTGAACTTTTAATTGCATCCTGATGTGATTTAATGTATGGAGAGGTTCAGTTCAAGATTTATGCTGAATAGGTCTGCATCGAAAGTGTATTTGCTCCGCGTGTTAGTTTTAAAAGAACGAAAGGATCAGTCTAATGTCGATTCATGGTAGTTGTACCAATCTTTTTTGTATGGCAGTAGCACCAGCATATTGGTCATGGCCTAAATCCTTTACTATACTAGATGGACACTCCTGCTAGCTGCAGTCTAACACAAGGGACATATGGCTGGGGAAAACATAAAGAAATTGTGCTGACGGGAGCTCTGTGAGGGACTCCAGCTCCAGCTTTGAGTAGGTGACAGAGCAGAGATTTCGGCTTCGGTGGGTGCAAGGCTGGGAGGTGCTCGAAGAGATAACACGGAGCAGGAGCTCCCCAGTGTCAGGGCACTGTGGAGAAGAGTACAAGGTCCATGTTTGCCTACCTCCGTATGCACAGGTCGTGGCTGGCTGCGGTCCCATCTGCTCCTGGACTTTTGCCTAGGTTGCAAAATTGTTGTATGGGAACTAGTTCAAATACAGGGAGTTAGGCACTTAGGACCAGATTTTGAAGGGCATATTATGTCCCTTTGTGGTTCAGGATCATTAGCAAGGCTTTCAAAAGTGATTGGGAAGTGTTGAGCTGCCATTTTTTCCCTCCTCGCTGCCTGTCTCATTAGCCGCACTCAGAATTTTGACTATGTAATGGCAGCGGCAAGCAGGTTTTGTCACAAGCATAGGCAATTTACTAATTTGCCAGGAATGAAGAAAACTGTATGTGAAATGGAACAAAATGAAACGGATCAAAATGCAGCATCTGTTGAATTTAATGCAGAATGGTATTCATAGGGATTGGGTGTCCTGGATAGCTCTGTGGTTGAAGAAAAATGATGTCCTGTTCTCTAGGTCTAGTATGATGAAATGTATCCACTGAAGTCAGTGGGAACTTCCGCACATTTTAGCAAGGCCAAGATATAACCAGTAGTTACTGGATCTCTGTGCTAGTAATGGGAGCCATAAATAAGGTCCTTTAGCCTCCCTGTGCTGCATGAGGCCAACAGGTACCCCTTGGATTGCCACGTTCCTAGATGTTGCATTATGTGCATCTTTTACTCTTTGCTGGTGTTTTCACCATTACTTATTATCTGGGAAAAACAAAGGAAAAACATCTGAACAAACTGTAAAACATTGAGAAACCCCATGAAAGTGATTCAGCTGGAGCTCATCTTTCTCTCATCTGCAACTAATGCACACAAAGAATAAAGAAAGGCCAAAAAAAAAAAAAGAAAAGAAAAAAAGTGACAAGCAAAGTCAGCCTGTTATCATCCCTGTTCTATCGGTAAATGAAACAATGCTTCTGAATGCCTAAAGATAATCCCACGGGCAGATAGTAATTTTACAGCCAGGTTTAGATCTAATAATACGCTTGCAGCTTATATGAGATCCGTGATGTCACTTTCTCTCATCCCGGCGGTTAGTGCTGCAGATGTCATTTTAATTATGTATTAGCTTTCTGTGGTCAGTCAGATGATTTCAGTCCTGGATAGTCTCCTCATTTGGCTTATGTACAAAAACATTTAGTGCTTGTACTTTAGAAATGTTAATATGTTACATTTATTCATGGATTCAAATTATTGTAAAATGCTTTTCCCAGTATTTACAGAAAAAGCAAAGTATCCCTTGCTCAGAAATAGCACAAATTTAACGCATCACTTACTTAGCCTCTACTTTGAAGACTTTAGTAGGATTTAGGTGTTCAAACACCTTATCCTGATTATCTGCACACACTTAAATTTTCCCCTTAAGGCAAAACATTTCCAAAACAGGGTATACCATTTATTTCGGTACATGATAATGTAACATATTTTCATTTAATAATCTGATATGCAAATCATCAGATTCGTCATTATTCTTGCAACAGTTTTTTTTATCAAGTTATAGTTCTTGGATATTTGGATGCTTACCAGTCTGTTTCAAATGGATGATCTCTAAAAGAAAGTCTTTCATGTTGCTCAAAATTGAGGCTCCTTTTTAAGAGTATGCCAGGTAAAATGGAGTCCCCTTCACATAAGGGAGGCCAAAATCTCATTTTTAATGTGTAGCAATAAAAGCAATCAGGATGTAGCATTTTAAGATGTTGCAAAAGAGTAACTAATCTTTGCAAGTCATGAGAGAGATGTCTGAAAGGTTCACGGTTTTCAAAATATGTGGCCTTTCATAATGGAGAGTTTGTAGAGCCAACGCGCTCTTCTGGCATCTCCTGATTTTTCCAGTTGCACTGTTTGCTGTGAATGCATAATTCAAGGTCATCGATCTGTGCTGGGGAGACAGTGACCTGGTCATGTTCTTGATGATGATCAGCAGTTTCTTGGTGGTCCCAAGGCAATTTGAAATGAGGGGGTAGCAAATCCCAGATACATCCGCTGGCACCTCGGTTGGTGATTGTGTCAATGGGGCTAATGAGCAGGAGACTTAGACTACTGCGGCAGCTCCAGAAGAAGCAGAAGGCAGAGTGGGAGAAGAGGGAGGAGGCTGCACTGCCATTAACCATGAAGGAGGCTCTATGGTGATGCTGGAGATGGCACAGCTATCCATTTTTCCTCACTTCTGGCCTCATCCCCTGCTCCTGACAGATCACTTTGCCGGGCGCCGATAGGTAGCATAGATGGCACTGCTGTCTCCGTGTTGCCAACAAGCTCAGGCACAAGGAATTCCTGGTGGATGGAGATCCATGAGTTTTCCATTGTCAGCTATGGGCATAGCAAAAAACAAAACAAAACAAAACAAAAAAAACAAACCACAAACTAAAAAGAATGAGTGGGGCAGGAAACAATTTTGAGAAAATCTGATGCTATTTAAATGCTTGCAAAGGAGAGATAACTGCCCTTTCACTGCCAGATAGGAATGGTAACGTGCTCTAAAGAAGTGGTATTTTTTAATATCTTTCTGGGAAATGATGGCATGGTTACAGCCTTAATCTCAAAACCACTGAGTCCCAGGGAGTAACGTGCAATGAGCTTCCCTAAATGGTTTACCTAGGGGGAAGAGGGACACGAGTGTGTGTACCTGCATTCAGGAGGATAAGGGACAATCTGAAAACCTAATTACTGTGGCACTCTGTTCTTTTTGCTTCCGACCTTACCAGTTCCCTGGAGTTTTTCCTTTCCATGAACTAATGAACTATTTTATTCAAGAGCAGCTCGAAATGAGTTGAGCAGAGGTAATCCTTCTGAAAAAGTCTGATCCTGTCTTTGTCAGGGGAAAACTATACAATTACTAAGAAAACTTAGTTAGAAATTTGCTAAATTCTGTGTACATTCCAGGAGCTGTGTGTGTTTTTGAACTGTGGAAAATGCAGTACAGATGTTGAAAAGTAAATATTTTTCTAAGGAAACAGCAGATGGGAGGATTAGACACCTTCTAATAGTGTGCAGTTTTCCTGCCTTTGTAGAAATCTAAGCACAA